GGGGTGCTGCGCGTCGGATCTCCGTGCAGCGTCAGACTCCTTCCACGAAGGCCACGATTAAACTGCAGGCGGGAGGGGAAAGGGGCCTGGGGGTGCCATCAGGAGGCAGGAGCCAGGGATGCGCTTTGCATGGGCTGCCCTTTGCCTGGCTTCCACGGATGTAAACGGTTCCCGGGCTCACTGCTCACCCAGTGAGCCTGAGGGTTACCACAGAGCTCACTGGTTACCGGGCCAGGTGGCTTCCACGAAGGCCACGATTAAACTGCAGGCGGGAGGGGAAAGGGGCCTGGGGGTGCCATCAGGAGGCAGGAGCCAGGGATGCGCTTTGCATGGGCTGCCCTTTGCCTGGCTTCCACGGATGTAAACGGTTCCCGGGCTCACTGCTCACCCAGTGAGCCTGAGGGTTACCACAGAGCTCACTGGTTACCGGGCCAGGTGGTGGGAAACCAGCCTGGGCAGCAGGTGGGAGTGGGTCAGGTTGTCCCCTCCGTGGGGTGAACTAGGTAAACAAAGTGAAACAGAAGGGGCTTGCAAAGGCCTGAGGCGGGCTCGGTGCACCAGGGCTCAGGAGACCCTTCCAGGGGTGTCGCCGGCAGCGGAGAAATCCGCCCTCCCCTCCCGCCACGGCGCCCCACACAGCGTGGTAAGGTCCTGCCATCGGCACAGCGCTTGTCCCCCACGTCGGGCATGCTGGGTAAGAGGGTTTGCCGGCCGCCTTGGCGCGCTCTGTGTGTCATGTGCGGCGGTGGCCGGAGGGGATTAGCCGGGAATCCTCGTGCAAATCCATCCTGAGATTAACGGAGCCCGGAAGATTAAGGGCTTGGGCACTGGCCAGTGGGGAGACAGGTCGTCCTTTATCAGGCCGGTCGGAGCAGGATGTGAGCGGGGAGTCGGCACGTCCCGCCTGAGTTCTCCGTCCGCAGGAGGGTTTGGAGGGACCCCGATTGCGCCCGCCCCGTCACCCAGACCCGACCACCCGGGTGCCCCGTCGTACCCGGCAGCAGCATGGCCCCCAAGACAGTGCTGATCACGGGCTGCTCCTCCGGCATCGGCTTTTCGCTCGCTGCGCA